TCAACGCGGCCGCCAGAGCCCGAGCGGTGAGGGGGCAGCCCGGGGGCGGGGCGGGCTCCTGCCCCCGGGGGGTCTCGGCAGCCCCACCGGGGTGCGCAGTGTCATCGTGCGGGATAAGGCTGCACGCCTCTAGCCTAGGTGAGAGCCCCACGGACTCCCTGGATGCAGCCTCTTCTACACAGGGCTCTTCACAGATGTTGCTGTGTATCTCTGTGTGGAACAGACGGGGTCATAGTGTGCAGTGTAGTCCTCTGCATAGGTTAGAGCCCCAAGCACTCCCTGGGAATTCAGCCGCTTCTAGACAGAGGCAGAGACAGCTGCTGATGTGGATTTTCTGTATCTTTTTGTATACCTAATTGATAGACAGATATAATGATAGGTAGATATAGAAGAGGCTGGGTTTCCAAGGAGCCCTCGGGGCTCTAACCTATGCAGAGGCATGCCATATATACATTACTATGTATGCTAGTATAATTCATAGTGACAGAGAGACTGGATAATGTAAGAGAATTATATAATAGTTTAATTAGCAATTATGTGTGTGTATTACTATACTATACTATACTATACTAGTATCCAGTCTCTTCTATGTAGAGAGATATATAAGTACATCTATACAGATACGTACCTATCTAGAAGAGGCTAGACATCCAGGGAGTCCTTTGCTTATATATGGGCCATAGACTCTATATATAACCTCTCTCTTATATATATATCATGCCTATATTTGTGTGTGTGTGTGTGTGTGTGTGTGTGTGTACTCTAACCTTTGCAGAGGCACACACACGTGTGCGTATATAGGAGGCATACTATATATATAGATAGATGAACAGATAGATCTATATCTATATAGTGGCACACCTAGAGGCACACTTAAAATATATATAGATATAGATATATATGGAGAAGGAGAGGGAGAAAGAGAGAGTCATACTATACACACATATACCATATAGTTTTAAGGCTGTATCATAAAGTAAACTGGCATTTTTCTTTTCCTTCAGGTGTTTTCCAGTTCCCTTTTGTTTCATACCATTATCTTTTGGAAGGTTTAGACTAAAATCTGTCCCCTGCCAAATAAATAGGAATTTTTTCTTTTTTGGACCATTTTGTCAAACAGTCATCCATTTGAAATAAAAAGGGAACATTTCTGCTCTCGGTTGCTCCTGTTGTGTGTAGCCATCTTTCTGTAAGATTAAGTGAATGTGTTGTGTGCTGGGGTGGTTGAGTGGACTCTGACCCAAAGACCGACACCCCCTTTTTGGATCACTTGTTTTTTTGTGGTGGTGGTGGAATCTGTCATAAGTTTGGCCTAAAAGTGTTTTCTCGCAGTCATTTTCTAGAGTCATGCTTTAATATGAGACACACATCTAGTTTTTCAAACTTCAGAAAAAAATTATCCACATGTTGTTAATAAAATAGTCAGATTAGGTAAACATAGTTATGTGCACTTAAATCAAATCTTGGCATTTCCTTTTCCTGTTTTTTTTATCATTGTTTAGCTTAAGGGGCAAGAAGATTGCAGTTCAAAACATACGACTTCAGAATGTCTTTAACCAACAAAATTTACAAATCTCCCTCTCTAGCGGCTATCTTTTTTCTTTTTGTCTTTTTTTTTTTTTTTTTTTTAAATTTTATTTTACAGGGAGGGGCTTGCAGGGGTCAATAGGATTCCTGCTACAATCAAGGTGGTCTGTTTGCTTATGTCATTGATAACATTGTTTAGGGCCTCAGAGGAGATAAACAATAGAAACTTCCTGACTTGTCACATGACTCTTAGTTTACTAGAGAGCCAGAATTTTCTTCTAATAAAAAAACTCTGAAAATTAGTCAGTTCTAGGTTGCCTTGTTCCTCTGCGCATATCCAAGGGCTCTTTTTCTTTCCAAGACTTTTGATGCCTTGTGCTGTTTTAACTTCATTATATATGCCTGTATTTTGGAAAGCACCAAATGTGACTGAGCTGCCTTTCCCTTCCCCTTCCTTCCCTCCTGTTTGGAAAGGCTTGCAGTTAGGTACAATTCTGAAAACACAAAATAGAACTCTGACTGGAGGAGGAGGATGCGAGGCTAGGTCAGGTTATGTCAGTCTAATTTCCTGGACGTGAATTGAATCCTTGCTGTGTCAATGGAAAAAGCCAAGTTCTGAACCATCTGGGAAAAGTTTAACCTTCTGAATTTGAAAACTTCTGTGGATTCTTCCATTCCTTCAAGACCGTACTGGCTTGTTGGCTTTCCCAAGCAATCCTTTAGTGCCTGTTTATGTGCATTAGAGAAGAGGGCAGGGAGCAAGGTGAGGGAATAGAGAAAAGTGGGGAGAGGAAACACTTTCCAAGCCTTACAGTAAACTGGGAAGGTGAAAAAGGAATGTCTTGTGTCTTAAAATATTTGCTGCAGTGTCAATAAAAACTATGGGTTTCTTGTGAGAAAAGATTTGAATGATCCCCACACCCCCCCCAGTCCAGTTGTTTAAGGTAGATTGGGAACAAGTGTTAGGAAACAAAAATTTAAAACCTAGGGAAGACAAATAAATACAGAAAGTAACATTGTCTCTGATGTGCTGGCTCTCCCCAAGAAAACAGCTGTAGCTTTTTTTTCCTGAGTTCACTGCCTGGCACTGCAATATGGTGTTACTCCCTCCAGCCAGGCTTCCCAAACTCCCAAAACAATGTCATCATCACAAAGCTAATGAAATTCCTCTGTGCATGTGCTGTTGGACCAAAGCAGAACTCAACCTAGAGAGACTGCTAATGCAGCAGCACTCGCTTGCTGGAAATGCACAGCCTGTGTGAAATTCAATTATTTGTTGTTTCTGAAAACATGACTTCATCACCAAAACAGGTTCTCTACTCTGTTTCTCTTCCCCTCCTCCTTCCCCTCCCCCAGTCCATATAATATTTCCATCAGACTTTTTGGTTGTGTGTGTTGTGAGTGACTTGTGTGTTCAAAGATAAGCAGTTCTTAGTATTTAAAGGGGCTCTTCATTTTGCAGTAGATTATGCTGTTGTATAACTGTCCATAAAGTAGTGTTTCAGTTATCAGACTAAATGCAGAAAACACCTGTTTATACTATAATAATTCTGAATAATCCTTGTTCACAAGAATACTTTCAGCTGGACTACATATGGGCTTTATTCTGCAGTGTTGAGTACCCTGACAGGATGAGTCATGATCAGGCTTTGTGAGACTGAAATTAAGTATAGGTTTTCTAGGTAGTGCCTTGCATTATGAAGTCGAATGCAGCAGAGGGGATAAAGAATTACAGTTTTGTATATTGGATCTTGCATTTCTGTTTTCTCTGGTTTTAAGAACTCAAGGACAAGGTATATCATCCTCCTTTTTTAACAGAATTAAGAGCAATGGTCTCAAGTTGCAGGAAGGGAAGTTTAAGTTAAATATTAGGAAAACATTTTCTCGCTAGAAGGGTAGTAAAGCACTGGAACAGGTTACCCAGAGAGGTTGTAGACTCTCTACCCTTGGTGGTTTTTAAGACCTGGGTAGACAAAGCCTTAGCTGGGATGATCTAGTTGGGGGCAGTCCAGCCTTGAGCAGGGGATTAGACAAGACCTCCTGAGGTCCCTTCCAGCCCTCATTTTCTATGGTTCTATGAAAGTGAAAATGATATTATTTTGTTCAAATATTCCTTTTTTGCTTTTCAGGATTCATTGCTGCTTACATTTGAAGAGGAGACAACTCCTGAAC